GTCCTGCTGAGTGAGGCCCAAACGGTGTCACCCTCATGTACACAGGGTACATGCCCCTGTTCTGAACAGCATGTGACTTGTTGCCCTATTTTAATCATGTACAATATGGTGACAAATCACACACCTGTCACAAGACCTTCAGACCAGAGGGGCATTTCCAGCAGAATGGTTTCTGAATGGTGTCAGTCTCATGAACCCAGTGAACATTGCCCTCTGGTCTGAACAGTGTTTGATAGGTGTGTGATATGTCACCGGATTGCGCTTGAGTGCACTGCGGTGACATATCACACACTGTTCAGACCAGAGGGTTTTTCCAGCTGAATGGTGTCTGAACTGTGTCACCCTCATGTAAGGTACTTTAATTGGAAATGTAGAAACAAAATCATGACTGAGTTTGACTAGAATTCAGCATGGCTTCAACAAACGTGAATGATAGTTGGCAGTGAATAGTTACATTTTATTTAACAAATATATTGTGTTATATAATGAAATAGTTCAACAAAAACATGGTAATGACTTCAAATGAACTTCAGGCAAAAAGTAACAAAGAATTAAGCTATGGCACTCCCTGGGAAGTGCCCCCAAAGCTCCCCTGGTGTCTAGTGCTTTTTACTGCAACACGGGCTGGTGGATGTGCTACTCAACAGTTGTTTGAAGCCATCTGGAAACCAGTTTTTTCCAAAGTTTTCATTCATAATCATTCTTCCCATTTCTCAATCTTTCTTGCTCTCAGCACTCTCACTCCCCCAAAATGGATTTCAAAGCTTTTGGGAAAAAAAATCACCTGTATTTTTTTATTTTTCACAGATTTTGGAACTTTTTTTTTTTTTTTTTTTGTATTCATTTTTTGGGACCTCTTTGGCACCACTTGTCCAATTCTTGTGACTTCAAGAGTTTGTGTTTCAGAGCTCTGGGATCCAAAAATAAGCAGCCACTTTTCACTGTCTACCCATTGTACACACACAGACAAAAAAAAATTGGTGGGAAAAAATAAAGTATTCCGGTGGGGGAAAACCCTTATAAATCAGGGTTTTTTTTGTTTCCTAACCTGAAAGAAAGAGCCAAAACAAGCTCTGTTGTTGGGTCTTTAAAAGGCCCTAATGGAAGGATATAAAGTGCTTAAGTATGCTTGATGAGAAAAAAAAAAAAAAAAAACAATCTACAGTACTACATATCCTTTATCAAGACAATCAAAACATTTGATGTTGATCTGACCCATCACTACATAATCATTAAAAAGGTTCCACAAATTTGATGTTTGATTATTTTGGCATTTATTTGGAAACCATATCCTACTTCATCTCTGTTGGTCCTGCTGGTTGAAGCCTCTGGATTTGTGATGGATCTGCTTCAGGCCAAGGATGTGCTCAGAAATGCTTTGTTGACCCAGATGCCAATCAATTTTCAGCTTACAATCGTCTTCCATGGACCACATGGTTGAGCTCCAAAACATCACCCAGCTCAAAGCTCTTGGTGGATATTACAGGAAGACAATCCATAATGGCCCCATAGCCCTTTTTTTCTGAAGCTGCCTTGCCTTAAACACACACACACCAGAGGAATTATATTTCATTGCTTGAATAGAGAGATACAGAAGGGGAGCCTCAACCTTATTGGCTGGTTGCTTCCAACCCGCAAATATGATCCAGGACTTTATCCTGAATCAAAAACTTAGACCACTGGAATTCCTCCACTCTCTTTAGAGAAATTCAACTCAATCTGGACAACTAATTGGCTGATAAATGCTAGTCCAAAATCCCAACCTTACTTTGGTGATGAGAATCAGCTGACACTGAGTTCTTACCAAGTGAACAGACCAGATTTGATGGGAATTTGGCTTGAGTAAGGCAAAACTGGGATTCCAGACTAAACTGGAAGTCCTCCATTTGAAAATTCATACGTAAAATATATCACATTCATGAAACCTCCAACTCAGTATAAATCAAACCCATTTGTTGGAAGGGTGCAATTGTTTATGGCTTGAGGTACAATCAGAAGAAAAATTAGGCCAAGAGGGGAGGTGAGTTGGTGGTGGCTCCTGTGGTTGCAGACAGAATCCTCAGACCTTCTTTCTGTTAATTTGTTCCCTTTCTTTTCCTCATTGCATTTTGGGCCCTCACTCTCCGGGTCCCCTGAACCTTCCATCCCCGTGGCTTTTAAGCTTGTGCTACTGCTAGATATTGAGCCAAGGCAAGCAGTGCATAGCTCGGTTTCTTTTTCAGTTTGCCACAAAAGTCTGAGGAAAGTGGTCCTTGTGTTATCTGTTAGGCATCCTGTGCCGTGCGTTTATTTTAGTAAAGAATCTCCACAAGTTTTCAATGATTGACCAAGTCTTACCATCATCCAAAACCAATGACATGTTTTTAAATTCCAGGCAACCGCACCGGTTGATTCATTTGAACCATCTGTTGGTGTTACTGCAAGCTAGAACCACTGGTGTTGATCTGGAACTGGAAGGACCGACCCATTTTTCATTGTGAAATGTGCTACCAATTAGACATTTATGCACTATTATCAATGATGACAGGTATTAACTCACTTCACCTCCGTCGGTCTTGCTCGTCGGACCCTGTCCAGTTGGGATTGGTCTTCAGCCGATTGTTCCCTGATCCCGATGCAAATACATTCATTGATTACTTATGCAATCATCTTCCATGGACTGCTTGGGCTCCAACAGACCAACCTCGAGGATTGTACAATCTAATCCTCTCATCGTCCCATATGTCTAGTGTCTGTGGTGATTAGAAGAAGTTCGCAGGATGGAAATCTGACAGGGTTGGGAGCCAACTTCCAGAATATCGCCCCCCCCCACCACCACACCATCTGACAGTGTGAGCTTCGAGACTCGTGAAGCTTGAATCTTTTTTAGGTTTCTATGTGAAGCGCATCCTTGATGATCCTACCGTGCTCTTTGCAGCAGCCTTGTCTGAGAATTCCTCCCTCTCTGGAGGTTGATTGAACAGTCCTAAAAGGTTTGTGTATATCTCATTTAATGAGCTTTTCTACCCCAGTACTCGAGCCGATTTGTCGGCAGCTTGACATAACTTCCTCAATCGTCTGCGACTTGAATCATAATCATAGGGAATTATACATTGTGCATAGATCGTTTGACCAACTCACCTTCAAGTTCCACTGTAATAATACGGTCCAAAATGTCATTAAGGAGTCTAACTCTGTCGAACTTAGCATGTTTGTCTGGATGTTTGTATTTATAAATGTGCAATTCTTCGAGGATGGAACAGTCAGTTAATCTCGCTCGACCTTTGTCCTCCTTTATCCGATAATAGATAAGACGGACGATTTTCAGATGTATGTAAAATAGATATTTAGATATTTTAATCCTAATCAACTTACATATGTGTGACAAGTGGTGCTTGAATTTGCTCGCATGAAGAACAATTGATCACCACTGGGTCTGATGGCCTATGTGTCATGACATGCTGGCTGATGAAAGCGTTTAGGGGAAAGGCTTCTCAGGAGTCAAACTTTGTCTAATACGCGTCGTTTCGAATTTCCTGGCTCTGCTTTAGAATAGAATCCTCTTGACAACTCGGTCCACTTCTATGTGTGTCACCTTAGCTGAGTTTGTTCACGGCATTAAAGTCAACTGTAGTATTGTGGCCGACACTCAATCACTCCTTCGACCTGTTCCTCCTCGAGCTGCAACTGAGGCCTCGTGTACTTGCCTGTAAAACAACATTCGCTCAACACGGATGTTTCTCAAAGCCGTGGCAGTGCTGATTCAGCTAGCTGTCTTGTTACCCCCATCTTTAATTTCTGGGAAGCCTGACTGCCCGCCCCGGAAGGTCCCAGATGCGTCTGCTCTCAAGGAGGCGATGAACGGTATCTTGCAGCTTTTACTCCTCAGCCACAGAGTGTCTCGCAAATACTTATCAACCGGACTGTCCTCCAAAATCTATAGCATTCGTCATCGGTGGCGTTGTCCCGGACCTGTTGCCTCAATTCACCCCGCTGGCCATCATGAGAGTGAGTGCGATTCCCATCGGCACCGGAGAGACAATAGTCGCGCTTTTGTTGTGGGGGGGTGTCGCTGATCGGGAGAAGAGTTTTCCTGGCAGTTAATCTATCAACCCAACCCGTTCGGTACCGTCTTCTTTCCCGGCCAACGCGTCCCACAATCCTTGACTCGCGAGCAACCCACAATCAGGATTCGGCTGCCTCCTTATGAGTCTTCCGCTTCTTCCGCCTTGTCTCCCGATTTTGATTACACGTTTATCATGATCGATCCGGATGTTCCCAGCAGAGTTAATTCTACTATGGGGTATACTATCATTCTCTCCCGGCTCCCGAGCTTTCACTTTTTTGCTTATGATGAAGCCTAAGGGGACAACACTGACTCAACCTTTTTTTGTGCTGTTTCTGATTGATTTGGTTTCCCACTGTATGATCGATTGTCCTGAAAAAAAAAACGAGAAGACCGTTCCGACACATGCTATCAACCGAGGTGAAGCTGGTACCGAATGCGCCATACTTCGACCTAGAGTTCCCCGACAAGCTGCTCAGTCCATACTCCCCGCCAACCCCTCCAGAAGCATCGGGCTTCCATCGATACACCTTCTTGCTCTATCCCGGCCAGCCTTCGCCCGAATCGATCGACGATTTCGAACACAAATACCCCTCCCGATATCACTTCAATTTGCGCCAGTTCGTCGCTGAGGCTGGGCTTTGTTAGTCCTTCCCTCAACTATCTTGTAATCATCCAACCCGTCCTCACTCTTGATTCCCAGTTAACGTAATCCTCTTCGTTGCTCGACATCCAGGTGACCCGATTGCCGGGATCTTCATGTTCACGGAAAACTCGAAAGACGAAGCCAAAAATTTGGTGCATTGAATACCCCTCTCCATCCTCTTCTTATGTCAGACTATCCTTGTTGCCATTAATGTATTGTCCAGACTTGCAATCAAGACATCCTCACCTGCTCTCTGCACGTGTTGTGACGATTTCATCTGGCTTCTGAAAGTACATAGTCCTGTTTTTGTCCTTCACTGGAATGGATCTTATACTTGAGCATTGATGAAACATTAAAACTGTACTTCGAGTACATACAACAACCTTGTTTCTCTGTATTTGTCTCATAGAGCCAGACTACAAGTCACTTCCTTTGTTTCAGCTGGAAGATGTCCAATATAAATAGTAGCGCATCTCTCCAGAGTTGCCACAAGCACTGCTCTATCTGAAGGATTTTCTTACCTGACTCTCGTCCGTCTTGAAGCTATACATATACTCAGGAATTGTGGCGACAAACATGCAGTGGATCCATTCAATTCCGCTCTGCAGCCTTCTTTTCCAATTCATTGCGGCTCAGTCGCCCGGCCCAGGGCCACCAGCCCAGCCAACCCAGACAGACCTCTCAGAGGTCAAGCAAGGTAAGGCATACATAGATGAACATCGATGTGATAATCGTGAGTGGATGGATGTGACGATGTCTTATGATTATAGCTTTTATTCGGGAGGGAATTGTGCCGGATGTCCTGACGGATTTCGATCCGCAACTGATGATGACGGTGAGTGAGCCCGACGGCCGCTGAGCCGGAGTGACCGACACTGTGACTGAGACAGGAAGTTGAACCCAACGATATACTGAAGAGATTCTCCCTACGAGTACGATGTGTGTAATAGGTCGTCTATCCGCCGGGGAGCACGCCGACGGACATAATCGTTCAACCGGGCCAAAGGATCCCTGAGAAGCTGGCGGGTCTCCCCCCAAGGGTGCTTCTGAGCGTGCCCCAGTCCGGCCACTTCATGAATCTCACTCATGCCACTCCGGACTCGGCATTTACGTTCTTCATCCTGGATCCTGATGCTCCTAGCAGGAGGACTCCAAGTGCGCGGTAAGCCATCCCATACTAAGCAGACCTAGTGGATTTTCCCTTGAGAGTCCTTGAGTTCTTCATACTGATTCCAATCAATTTTTTTTTTTTTTTTTTTCATATACAAATCAAATCAGAGAGTATCTGCACATGATGGCCACCGACGTCCGACTGATTCCACTAGGAAGAGAGACGCCATGGAGATACGAGCTCGACATTTCCGGCGGGAGGGTAGCAGTGCCCTACATGTCGCCTCAGCCGCCTCCAGGAACCGGGCCGCATCGCTACGTATTCCTCCTCTGTCCCGGAATCATACCTTCCATCGCTCCGCTGCAGGGTCCTAACGCCTCTCGGGCCGACTTCAAGGCTCAGAAATTCATCGCCCAGTCCGCGGGTCTCCGTAAGTTTTTGATACACCCTGCTCCTTCTTCCTCGTTTACTGGGTTTTTTCTTCATCTTCCTCAATTCTCATAATGTTACTCTTGCCTCTTTGATGGGGTCGTCTATTATCGCTCTTCTCGTTGCTCATTTGTTTTTGACTGGAATCAAGACCCACCCATTGCTGGAACATTTGTTCAGATACAACACACCGACAACGATCCTTGAGAACTGCGTGATAATCCGTGCTCTTAAAATATAAAATGATTTTTCCAACACGTAAAACAAGAATCAGGAACACACTTCAGACTAGAAAATGCAAGGGTACATATACAAAATGGATGAGCAATACATGAAAATAGAGTGAATATGAATGCAAAACACAAGTTGAAGAAATTGATTTTTTTTTTTACATATTTATGAGCAATCTATAAAGTACACCCAGTCTGGAAACTCAATCTCCCAATGGGCAATGAATTTGGGTCCCAAGGAATACTTGACCCTATATCATAATCTACCCAATGTGCTTGGTACTTCCACCTTTGAATTTGCTTCCCAAATTGCAAAGCTTTTTTTTGACAAATTAGACAGCTCTGATATCTGAAAATAAGATACAAATTAAGCTGTTATTTTTACAAAGTGGCTGTATGAAAAGAGAAACTGGAGCTTTTCAAGCTGAGTTTTTTTTTTCTGTTAAACAACAAAAACCCAGAAGGTCTATATGTAGGAGAACAGAAAGATTTATCTCAAGAGTTTTTTTATAGAAGTTTAAGACACAAATTAAAAGAATTTTAAAGACGTTTTCCATTGAAATAAATCTGCATTTGAGTTCTTGAATTCAGTCCAAAGGAGCCAAATTGCTTAACCACACTACCAGACTGTTGATCCCATAATATTAAAATGTCAATTCTTATTTATCTACTTAGCCAACTCAATATTTGACTTACCTGTTGCTTGCATTTACCTGTTATCAGTGAGCTCATCTTTTTCAATTTATCCTGATTTCTGCATCATGGAAATAGTGGTAATATATATCATTTGAGTGTTACTTGAATAAATTCATATCAATTTATAATCAATTCTTCTAAAACTTACAGTGTAATGTCTAACTGATTGGATGATTTGATATAAACCTATTGGAAATTGAATGAACAGTATTATTTTAATTTTGTATACCAGTTGGAAATAAATCAAGTCCATTTGGAACAAGAACGAAATATTTCAAATCAAATATTTGGATGGTATTGACTTACAGAGCATGATTTAAATGAAGCACTAATTTCTCCACGTGATTGTGCCAACAGCTTTTGAGGGCTTGCTTTATTGATACGGATGCTATCGATGGCTCTATTTTTTGCAGAGAAAAGAAATGTCAGCTTTCAGCAAGCATCCATCCATTTGTTTTGATTACAAATGGAAAGCAACACACTTCAAACAATCTGGTGGCGAGATTATTCCTGGAGAAAAAGGACTTATGATATTGCAGGAAGGTACATCAAACTTTGTGTTGCTACCAAAGACCGGTGTATCAGGTTGAATTTGACTCATGGTCACAATGAAGCTTGGATATGGGAGGCTTCCAACCTAACAAATTGATCTCAAACATTTTCAGACAGTCTGAAAAATAAATCAACCAGAGAAAGTGAGAAATTTGCATACCATAGCTGGACTACATCTTTTTTCAACATCTAGCATGGCATCATAAATTTGAAACCTTTGGGTAGCGCTGGTATTCATTGGGGGGGGGGGGGATTTGAATAGGAATCAATACACTGCCACTAGATTATCAGGTTACAAAGTCAAGATTTGAGCTTTACTTACCCTGTGTCTTTAGAGAGGACTTCAAGCTATTTCAAATACCCATAAGATTAGATAAATAATATAAAAAAAAACATGAGGAAAAACCTGGCTACTTACAAGACACCCTCCAGAGGCAGTAGCAATTCTTTTTTCACCTGCAAGAATTGTGTTATCGGTTGTAAAATTCATAAGTGCAAAGGCCCTGATTCAAACAAATGTTCATGATGTATGGATAGAGCATTAAGATGATGTTGAGCTAATATGGTGATGAATGGTCACAATGGAGTCAAAGGAAGGGGACGGGCTGGAAGAGGCTCACTGGTAACAATCATAGTCGCTTACTTGCCCATTAGGAAAGCAAGGATTAGGCTGTTGTCCGAGGCATAGAGAGCTGTAGGCTAGTAAACTGATCACAGTGAAGAAGAATTTATAGACAGTCATTTCACTGTCAGTGGTCATATTATTCATGTGGTCAATCAATGTGGAGGGTGCAAATTACAATGGGATAGACATAAGGGATGGAATCAATGAGCGTTGTCAAGAGCCAGACAGCTAAATAGCCTTTCTCAAGGAATCATCCGAGTCAGACTCCAAGCACTGGGGCTCAATCTTCCAGGAGTTTGTTACCATGGCCTCCGAAGAAAGCATTTGAGAGCGCGGAAGAGCAGTAGTAACCTAGCATGAATATGTGGTTATAATCACCGCTCAAATGCGGTGCAATCGGGCTCGAATTCCACTTCCAAGTAACGAGCCCAAGATTTAGTAGAAAGCAGGACATAGGGATAACGCTGACCGCTTCCGGACTGCATCGAAAAAAAGACCTCTTCGGGTGCCAGCAGCCAAAAAAAAAAACTTTTTGTACAGCTCCTTCTGCTCCTATAACTACCCACAACACAGTTCCCTTCTTTCTGCTTCTCGATGTCTACCCAAGTTGTTGAGACCGGATGTATCGCTCCCGAGTCAGAGGTGGTGGTGAGCCTCGGGAACCAATCCTAACCGTCAATTTTTTTTTTTTTTGTCTGTTGGGGCCAGGAAACGACCCCTCGCGATCGAGCTAAAGAAGTCTTCCAAGCGGTATTCTACAAACTCCGCAAGAATATGTAAATGTGAACGTCGGCCGGGAAATCAAGATCGAAAAAAAAACGGCGTTTTAGGTGCGGTATCGGGCGGGCCATTTTCAAGGAAAAAGAGTCAAAGGAAATCGCATCATTTCTCACAATATTTGCAGGATGTACAATCCTTCAAACTAGGATCGGAAGATATGCTGATTTCGTTGTTTCAACTACAAAGAGGCCTTGTTAATGTGTCTACTATCAAGCTTGCTGACTGTCTCCTCCGTTGTAAGAAAAAAAAAATCAAGCGGTTTTCTCAACTTGACTTCCATAGAGCCTTCGCTCACATCAACTAGGATTTGTTTCTCAATAGTTCGTTCTTATGAGGCCATGTAAATCAGTTTTCTTATTCAAGCTTTATAAGAAAAAAATAGAAGATATCTGGGTGAGGAATCTATATTGAAGACACAACTGTGATGCGGTTTTAGATGTGGGATTTTTGCATTATAGAAGAAAGGAATGTTCATAGGTCTATTTCAAGCTACAAACTCAATGTTCAAGGGAAGAATGGATGCCGATGTTGGATTCAGAAGTGAGGGAGGGGTTCATGAAAAAAGAAAAACAGCCTCAGGAGATACCTTATAATATACACTTTCCAGAAATACGAAAGATATGAGAGGGAGAGAGATAAGAAAAGATGCTTGTGAAGACGAAGATCTCTACATTAATGTGTGAAAAAAGGGAGTGGAGAAGATATATGGGTATCCAAGGAGGGCTTTAAAGCGCGCAAAACATGAGAGAGAGAGAGATCGAGAAAATGGGGATGAAAAGAGAAGAGAAGGGCCTAATCATTGACGAGGAAGCCCAAGAGACAAGAATCCAACATGGCGTCGACGCTGATCCAAGCGTGGGTTTTCATGAACAGTTCCGTGCCGTCCTTCCCCGCCACCCGCATGAGCTCCCGGACCCCGCCCGGATGGTAGTTCAAGTAGGCACTCATGTTGTACACTTTCCCGTGGAAACTCGTCCAGGCATCTTCTTTCGTCTTGTGTGTCGCTAGCTCGCTCCGCGTTATCCTGCGCAAACTCGTCACTTCTTCTCCCTATATTTACATACATATACATAATCAAACAAAAATCCTTCATTTAGTTTCGTGCATTATCTTTTGCTTTTTCGGAGAGGGGAAGCTGAAAAAAAAAAAAAAAAAAAAAAAAAAAAAACTGACTCTCAAGTTAGCCCCACTAGATTTCAATTTAGCCCAATCGAGCTGACTGAAACCGGGCATCAACTGGACCTTTTTGCGGGGCTTGGGGGGCCTCTTGCGGGTCGAATGGGGCAACGACAGCGCGTCGATTTCGAGCTCATCTAGATCTGGCATCCCATCATTCTCATCTTCATCATTCTGATCTTCATCATCAGGCGAGTCGATTCTCAAGATCGGATGGTTGGTTCTTGTTGTTGTGGCAGATGATGATGATGATGGTTTGGGGTGGGTGGAGGAAAGCCGTTGGATCGAGTTCTGGGCGGGGAAGAGCGGCGGGAGGTCGGCAGAGTCTTCCCCTTCCATAGGCCTTTGGTTCTCATCTGGCACTCCTGTTAGATGACTGGCATTGTTGGTCTTGGTCTGGAACCCAAGGAACGAAAACATCCTCAATTCGAGCTTTGATGATGATATGATTATTTGTTCCTTTCCTCGACGATCTATGTGGATGGGTTTGCTATGTGGTGTGATGTCTTTCGGCTGGTGAGGCTTGGCCAGGTGTTGTTGTTTGGTTGGTGGTTGGACAGTTGAAGTGGTTTTCAGTGGTCCGCCGAAAGAAGTGCCTGTCCACGCCCCTGTCACAGACACGCAAAGAGGGGCAGTCCTGTGACAGGCCTCTAGTGGTAATACTAATCTCCACTCCAAAAGAAAAATTCCCAGATCTCATCTACTGGAAGGATTTCGTTGAAGAACCATCAGCACATCAACGGAAGGATCAATCGGGCCATAGAGTGAGTATCCCCTCACACAAGAACTGGAAGTGTTGGTTATCCCTACTCACACACAAATTTGCTAACACTTTTGTGTTTTGGTTAATAGACACGTTGAACAAATGATTGGAACATCAAAAGGATGAGATTACAGTAACACAACTGATATCCAAAAATAGAACCACGGATTTTTTTAAAGAAGGAAACGCCAAGCAAAACGTTCGACCTCCTGCAAGCTCTCTCCATCCTCCCCTTGAAGAAAAAAATTCATTACAACAACAAAAAGAAGAACAGAGAGATCCGAAATTGATTGATGAAAGCGGCAAGAATCTGGAGACCTGAAGAGCCCGAACCCAAGATCACCAAGCTCGTGAGGCCGCCGGGGATGCCAAGTCCGTCGAGAATTGCCGTCTCCGTTCCGATACTGTTGTACTGGCTGGTACATGTGGCACTGATCGACAGTGTCGATTGCCTGCCCGAAGATCGTCGCCATTCCGGATCACTCGTCTCGAGATCTAATACTGATGCTGATTCTCATAATAAGGTCCTTGTCGACATACTCTTCAAGCCTTCCTCTTGTCCTCTCGTATCTCAAGTTGACGACCAATTAGCGTAAATCCTCTTCTTTTTTTTTTCTTGTTCACATGGCCGGCTTTTTTTTAACATACATACATACAGTCGATTTTCAATTGTCGTTTTCGTATTCTTTTCGTTGATCCTTTTTTTGGTTTCTTGTTTAGGGTGACCTATGTTGGAACACTGACTGAAACCGGAAAACAATTCGACGCTTCGCAGGACCCCAAAGAGTCAGCCAGTCTTATATCTTCTTACTTGATTACACTCTCTCCCTCTCCCTCTTTTTTGTTTTCCCTTGGCCATGAAAGAAATAAAAGAATTGAGGTTTTTGTTGTTGATCCATTGGCCCGTGACTATGTAGTCCATTTGTCTTCACACTCGGCGTCGGAGAGGTTATTCTAGTGAGTTATCTTGATTCCATCCAGACAGTTTATGGATATTTTTCCATGTTTTACTGAAAGATGCTCTTGGGGTTGTGTCTTAGGGATGGGATCAAGGAATGTTGGGGCAAGTGGAATACTCAAATCAATCAGAGCGACGATGTTTCTCATCGGTCTCCTTTTTTCATTTTCACACAAAAAAAAGGATGTGTGAAGGAGAAAAAAGGGTATTGAAAATCCCATCGGAGTTGGGTTATGGACATCGTGGTGGTCAGTGCTCTGTATGTGAAACTGGTGACTCTCCCATCTACTTGCTGATGATTCTTAAATCGTCTTTCAAATCAGCCGGGGCCGATATTCCGCCAGATGCATCTTTAACATTCCGTGTTGAAGTAAGTCCTTTCCCTCCCAAAGAAAAACAAAATCCCTGCACAATCAGAACATTTTTACTTGGATCATCAAGACCCTTCTCATAATACCTGATTACTTGAGCAAGCTAAAACGATGCTGATTTTGCTTAGTTTTGGTGTGGGTCTATGTATGACTAATGTTAGTTAATCGAAATCCAAAACCGGAAATCTGATCTTAATCAACTCGAGATTCAGACGACTTATCAACCTGCTTCATGTCCGATAAAATCTGAGAATGGCGACCAAATGGCGTCAGTTTTTCTTGTTTATTCATCATGAGATAGATAGTCCCCCATCTTGAAGTGATTTTTTCTTTCTTTTTTCGGGGGAGGTGTTATTAGTATGACATATGTTGGAACGCTCAAGTCTAATGGGGCCCAATTCGATGCTATCAAGACTCCCGATAGGTAAGTTATTCTTCAGTCACACCATCGTTTTTTTTCTTTTTTTGTTATCTTGTTCTCTTGTTCATTTTCTTTCCCTTGATGAATTGTTTTCTAGTCCATTCGAATTCAAACTTGGAGCGGGACAGGTTATCGAGGTAAGTTCAAGATCCACGTATGTAGCATCATTGACAACAAACGCAACCCCACATCATCTTGTCTTTTTTGTTTTTCTCTCTCTGACTTTGCATTGTGGTTCACCACCTTGATAATCATCATGTTGTGCATCGATCGACGATAATCACTTTTCTTTTTTTTCATCAAGGGATGGGACCAAGGTTTAAAAGAGTGAGTGATTTTTGCTGGAACATTGAGACAACTTGATCTGAAAAAAAACAGTGGATTGATCGTTTGTTTTTATCCGCATTCTTCTACATCAGTATGTGTGTTGGCGAGCGAAGGAAACTGGTGATCCCTGCCTCTATGGCCTATGGTGCTTATGGAGACTCGTCTTGTCAGTCTCCTCTCTTTTTCTTGAATTGAGTCTGCACGTGATCATTCTTAAAAATTCTAAATAATGAGGTTTATTAAAATGATATTGTAAACTCCCCCAAATCTAGCCAATCCACCGATCCCTCCTAATGCTGATCTGGTTTTTGATACGGAGGTAAACGCACCCTCCAAGCAGTTTTGTGAAGGACGAATTCACGATCTTGATCGGCTGATTAATGAGATGTTTTTTTTTATCATATGACGGGTCTTGGGATGCACATAGCTCATCGATATTCGCAATCGCTCTCACAAGGCTGATCCGGATCGTCACGAGGGACGGTGGCTTTGGAGCTGGTCTGTCGTCGAAAGCTTGGGCTACTTTCTCGAATGTCTTTTGATATTCTTCTGAAAGACATCATATCCTTGATCATTACAACAACTTGCCCATATCTTTGTTATACATATGTCTGTCTGTTGTACTTCTATACGTCATTTGGAAGAAAATCGGCCGTTTGCCTGCCGCGTAGAGTTAAGGGTTTTTTTTTTCTTCCTCGCGAAAGATAGATTTTTTTTTTTTTTTTTGAAGACTTACAAACTAGTATGATGCGATTGTCGGAGGTTCCATCTTTGAGAAAAACTTCGAGCAAGCTGTGTGCCAGGAACTCCGTTCTCTATATGAGAGACGGGGACTTGCACAAAAAAAGGCCCGAGAGGCTGTTGAAGAAAAACAGACAAGCCCCGAGAGAAATGACGGGTCGGTTATCGCATGGGTATGACCAACTCCGCTGCCACCCTGACCCAGCCAACGAAGGAAACCCTGAAGTGAGCAAACAAAGCTTTGAGAAGACTGCTAAACGCTAGGAAGCTCTCATTACAGCTTCATAGTGCTGTTGTCTCTCGGCCTCAACCTATCAGTTATCGGATACAACGCCTCACAGCCTGAGAGAGCAGGACTATGTGCTCAGCGGGCCTCAGCTACCTGATCAATGTTGGACATCCGCTTCACTTAATCAAGCTTCCAGCGTTCAAGGTTTTTATGTGTTTGTTTGTCCACGTTTTTCGAGTGACCAGCACCAAGCTTTCATTAACGGCAGGGGACAGTGTGGTTCGCCTCTGGTCGACTTGAATATGTGCTTAGTTTCGGCTGCTCAACTGGGTTTCAAGCTCTCAGATCCGAAAGCTTGTTCGAACACCACAAAGCCATGTCTTCAACATCGTCGTCGATTCCTTCTGGATCATCTCGGCCCCTCCGGCGATTTGTATGATCGCTCACAGAAAGATCATCATGCAAACAGCCTCTACGAGTACGGGGCCGGATCGACTTGCCTGTTCTGGATCAGAGCCCACTCCTCTGACTCTGAGTGCGCCTTTTTTTTTCGCTTTGTCCGTCTGGATACACAGCTCAGCACATCTGCAGGTGGTTAAAGGTATGCCGAAATTGTTTTGTTTTTTTCAGATCAAGTGCTCTGATGGCCTGGCTCGACGCAAGTGCTTGGCGGAGAACATGACAAGCCGCCGGGTGCTGGTTCTCAAAGCCTTGTTGAATATGGCTGATGATTGTACCCGGCTTGTTCGGAGACCGGGACAGCCTGATCAGTCGTTGATCGCGAAACTCTCCGCTGGGTATGTATGTACACTGGACTCGGTGCCTAGGCTGGGCTGACTGAAAAAAAAAAAAACAGTCTGCCATTTTGCTATGCATTCTTTAGTTCGGATCCGAGAAAAGGTTCCTGTAGGTTTGTGGGCTTTGTCGACCGGGTGAGCCCCTGATCAAGCTCCGACGAACGCCGATCAACCTTGTTGAACCGGGAGGTGTACAGCCGTCTATAGATAGGACAGCTCAGCTGAGAAGATCTCAGTCATCATCAACCCGCGTCTCTCGGCACCCCCCCCACTCTCAAGCACTTCGCGGCTGGACCTCGACTAAACGAGCACCAAGTGCAGATAGCTCGTCTCAAGGCACTCATCATCCATGGCTGCCTCAGCAAGCCCGTCTCAGGCTGTGCTTCCGGCTTCACTTCTTCGATCAACGGGAACTCCGCCTTCATGCCAGTGACCCTCCCCCTGGTGGTAGGCTATAAAAGAACGTCGGGGAAGACACAATCCTACTCTTTCTCACCATCCTCAACTCCATCATCTTGATCCATATTCTTCAGAGTCAATAACTCCTGTTTCCAATAATAATAAAAAAAACCCCGTTCTTGCCCTTAAGAGTCTCCTTTTCTTATCACAAAAAAAAACGAGATGACCGTCACAACCAGTGGAACCAAGTCGTGGTCGATTTCGAGCGCGTTCAAAAGCAGCGATAAACGTGTGGAAGGTAACAAGACTGACAGTGTGAGCCGAGATTCGAAATTTTCCTCTGAGGGAAGAAGCATGTCCTGATAATTACAACGATCCTTCATAAAGAGCGAGAAGTTGTTGTCGCCAGCAGCCATGTGTCTAGAGATCCCACTCAGCTTGAAAGCTGAAAAGTCCGTCTATACGGCCCGTGATGTCTGTGCCCAAATCATCGTCTGGGAAGGACGACCGCTTGATCGTCGTTGTTTGCCCCTGCTCCATTCATGGTCAGACAGCTCGAAATTTTGATAGAGTCTTAAATCCAAAAAACTGAGACGGTGTTGTGCTTCCTTTCGTCGTGCACCATTCATCCCCGTCACCTTTCCATTGAAAGATCCCGAGCAAGCGTTGGAATATGCCAGGAAATTGAAGGCCAGCTTAAGCTTATTCCCGGACCTGGTGATCTTGATGCGTTCAGTAAGTGATCAAACATATTGTCACGCCAGTTCGAAGATCCTTCTCTAATTCTTTATTGACCGTCGCCATGATCCCCCAATCCATTTTAGTACTTTGAGAAACCGAGAACGACTGTTGGATGGAAAGGCTTGATCAACGACCCGGATCTCAACGGCACATTCCAGATCAACAAAGGTCTCTGGATCGCCCGGAAGTTGTTGCGAGATTTGACTGAGTTGGGCTTGCCGCTTGCGGTTGAACTGTTGGATACATTCAGGTAAGAATCCAAACTGCATACTCTCAAGCTGAGCAGACAAGACCATTGAAAGTTTATTGGCTTTTTTTTTGATTGAACGTACCTTCCTCATGAAGTCCGCAGTACTTATCAGACTTCATCTCGTGGGGGGCGATAGGAGCCCGGACGACGGAGTCCCAACCGCACCGCGAGATGGCCTCGGGCCGGCCGCATCCGGTGGGCTTCAAGAACGGAACCGACGGCTCGATCGGCGTCGCCATTGACGCCATCAAATCCGCGGCCGCTCCGCACGCCTTCGTGGCCATGAACCACGAGGGCGTCGCTAGTATCTCTCGCACCCCCGGGAATCCAGACCTTCATCTCATCCTTCGAGGCGGAAATAAGGGGCCTAATTACGCCGAGATTGATGTGGCTGAGGCGATCAAGTCGATCTCGAAACAAATGCCGCTCAAGAATCCTTCGATCATGATCGACTGCTCGCATGGCAATTGTAAGCCTCTAATACCTCCTTCGTTGGATGGGAATTTAGAGCTAATGTAACAAACTCAAAACCAATTCCGGCATACTTCTAGCCCAAAAGGATCACCGAAATCAGCACAAAGTCGTCCACAGTATCTGCGACCAGTTGAAGGCTGGAAACCCATTCATCAATGGGGTCATGCTCGAATCCAACATCCATGAGGGGCGACAAGAGCTTCCCTCCAAAGGGCCCGGAGGCTTGAAATACGGCGTCTCTATCACGTAAATAAGGTTTCTCTTCCGTCTCTTCCACACAGATAGTACTTGCATGAAGAAATAGGTGAGAAACTGATGGGTCTGTGAATTCGGTGGTGGACGACAGAGATGCTTGCATCGATTTCGAGAACACTATCCAAATCCTCTGCGACTTGCAACGCACCGTCGTCCACCGTCGGAGTCTCCTCGACACCCTCTTGGCGGACGACAATAAGACCCCCTTCGGGCTGCTTCCTTCCATCTTCGAATGAGCTTCTTCTTCCTTCGAGTCGATTGGATTAAAAATCCCCGGATTTTGGTAGTTAAGGTTATCCTCATCATCGTGTTTTGTTGTGCTGGATCTTTCCATGTATTGCTTCCATCATGGTTCCTGTGTTACATCAGCTTCACACATCTTTTTCCCTTTTGGTTTTGGAGTTTCTTTCGTGCGAAAAGAGTTATGACTTTCAAGTAATATCTTATATACTTGTCTTGTAGTCAGACATGGACTTTGTGTATGCTGTTGTATCTGCTACATAGCTGTCTTCAAGAACAATAGTTGATTATCCCCTGTTCATTTCTCCTGAACCAACACTGTAACAGATACAACACACTGTGTGTGTGTACATATCATGGAGAATCCTGCAAAGCCAGATGGCCAAAACCCAAATCGGTTGGATCTCCTTGCACGTAAAAGCACATTGCTCAGATTGTTTGTTTTTTTATTGGGGTTCAGATAGATACTGGAGGACTTCCCGTTGGATCTGGGACCCTTTTCGCAGAACCCAATCTACATAGACCCAAAAACGTTTGATTCTCCGGCTCTGGGAGACCCGCAGATGTTGGTGACGGGAAGGTGTCCACTGTATCTGTTCCAACATTGTCTGAACTTATTTTTTGGAAATTTTCTCATGGATTGATTGATTTTGGAGGACCTTAAATGTTCCCCCCAAAAAAAGTGGTGTTATCAAGATCCTTCAGGTTTGGAATGACTCACACTCCAAGTGCCCTATCACAGATGATGCCTTCCAACCAGATTTTTTTTTGGGGGGGGGGGTTTAGGGAGAGAGAGAGAGAGAAGTGAGGATTCCTCCAAGATCATCAATCAACATCTCAGTTCAAGGGGTTTTGTTTTTGAGAGATGGATGCATTGGATCATCATTGATGTCCATCTTAAAAACTGATCCAGGATATCTGAACGTCTTTGAATATTGTAGTGTCATGAGGAGATTTGGAGCTCTTGAAATTGCTGCATGCTGACATCATAAAACACCTCGATTCGAAAGAAAGAAGAAAAAAGAAGGAAACAGATGTGCATATTTCTGGACTGGATGGGTGAGGCTATGTAGTTACCAGTTGATGCATGATGGAGACCAGCTCAGAAATCACTTTTTCCCACAATATCCTCCTTCAAACAAAGTGCACATCTTCCCCCCCCCCCCCCCCTCTATATGGGATTGGATACTTGACAAATGTGGGGATTAAAGGGGGCCCAACCTGCAACACCAAAACCAACGTAAGAGAAAGCCAAACTCATCCTCCTTCAAACAAAGTGCACATTCCCCCCCCCCCTTTATATGGGGTTGGATACTTGACAAATGTGGGGATTAAAGGGGGCCAAACCTGCAACAACAAAACCAACGTAAGAGACAGCCAAACTCCCGTTCTGTGTATGTGATGAACCACAGATCCTCATGTGACTGTGCATACAAGAGGGGTAAATATTCAACATTTGTGTAAGTATCCTTGTCACTACATACATATGCATTCAACATGCTTACAGTTTCCCCAACTATCCTGAGTTAGCTTGCATATCTACATTGTTGTGAAGGCTCATGGGTCTTACACAATCAAAACTTAAGGGACTGCAAAATCTTTCATCCCTATTGAGAGAAGGTATATATAGTGAATAGTATAAATTCCAAAATATCCAAACACAATTTTCTCCCCACTGTACATTTAGTATTCACACATGATAACTTTGACTGACTTACATTGTTGTGTCATCTTTGGCATACAATAGGAAACTGACCTGAGCAGTACTGGGATGTGTAGATTTTGACTGAGTGCTTCCATATGTGATGAAAGATACATATCTTGCCATCAATCTTCATGATCAGTATCTGCAGGACAATATTGATCATATAGGTTTACACAACCGGACTACAAATCAAATTTTGTATGCTGTGCTTTGCAGCTACTCTTGCAAGTTTGATGAACAAAACATCCAAATTTTCTATGGGGAGTATGACTGTCCAGGTGGCAAATAAAAAAGATATAAGGATAGCCTTGATATAGATCCTTGATGATGATGTGCTTCCCCCATAGATTTTTACAGTACCAGTTTTTTTTTTTTTACAATTCGCCATTTTCTGTGTGTTTCAAGCTATCCAACCCCAGTTTTTCACCACTGATCTTTTATCTCAAAGATAATCAAATCCATACTAGAAATCTCTATCACATAGCATCAGAACAGTTTCCAATTTGAAATGGGAGTTTCTTTGTATCACCTCTCTGTCTTCTTTTCTGCTGTGTATTTCTCACAAGTAGTCCATGGCGCAACATTCCCATTTAATTTGTTGAGCAAATCAGAGAATCTACCTCACCCTGTTGTTGGAGAAAGTAAGCTGAGTTTTATTTATGCCAAATCTTAAAAGGATAATCCTTAAATTAAATGTTTTCCTTATTTCTCCCAAAAAATTCCCCATCACACAAAAAACCTAACAAAAAATGATACCATTGAACCAGAAGATGGAATGAACCCTGTCAGCCAGATATTTGGGAAAGATTACATGATGAATTCAGAAGACCAGCAAAATGTGGAGAGGCACATTTCCAGCATTCCCCAGCTTGGAAATCTAGATAGAACAATTCTTTCAAGTAGTAAGTTTCAACTGAATATCTCCAAAGAAGAAGCAAGCCACTCATAGTAGAGCTATCATTTACCAAATCTCATAGCTTTTTATACTGGAAGATTTTTAGAGGCACAGAAAGGTATATCTCCTACTCATTTTTTAATCATAAGATTCTTGAAATATTTTCCTTCAAAACTAATATATCTTTGGGTTTTCACATAGAATTGATGTGGGAAGAGTGGAGCTTTCTGAGAAATGAGCTTAAAAGATTCACTGGACAAAATATATTAGCAATTTGGACTGCAAAGAAAAGTGATTTTGTTTTCCACTTGACACAATTGAACAAATTGCATGTAATCATGGGAGAAGATCTGGAAATCCTGTAAGTTAAAAGCATGTCTTGAAATGGTGATTATTCATATTTTGAATACTGAAAGTACAGATCATTTCTCTTCAACAAAATCTGAAACTAGAAAATCATCTGAATCAATCAGAGAACAAGAGTATGAAGACATGAGAGAAAAAATAAAGCAACATGTTGAATCTCTGCTACAACTGTTATACCAGATGAGCTTTCATTTTGGAGCCATATCACCTGAATTAAGGTTTTTGGATCTTCAAAGGCTTGCCCTTGTAACATTATATTACTTTTACAAGCATAATCTAATTGGTCAACAAGATCTGGATTTTCTGTTTACAAGATATCAGACAGTTGGAGATTTTGCACAATATGTCTTCCAGTCATACAAATTTGGACAACAAGTTAATACTAAATCTCTCCCTATCAGTAGCAAAAATGCATTAAACTATTGGTATTACTTCCCATTTATGGATATGCTAGAAGGTAAGTGATCATTGATTTTCTAATCTAATATTATTGGTTCAATCTTTCATATTGAACTCTTCATTTGAGCTCAATTTTTCAATAGGACTTGGTGAAGAGCACAAGAAGAAGTTTTCAACTGAATATAACAAGTTTGGGTTTGCATATTATGAAACAGCTCCTATTGAGAAACAAAATAAAGAAATGAAGGAAGATCTAATTTTATTCCGAGTTTACCTATTAGATGAAGTTTATTATAGTATGAGTCAAGCAAGAAGGCATCATTCTGTACATATAATGAATCTTGTGAGTCCACAAATTCAAGATCAAAGTTTTGAATATTTGATTACTATGTTCACAAATTTTCACACACATCATGAGCATGAGAAATATTATGTAGAATTGGAACATCTATTCCAACTGATAGAAAATCAGAAAGAATACAAACCAGATAGATATGCAAGATTTTGTGGAAATGTGGATGGGTTTGAAGAAAAGTTTGGCTTGATGTCCTCAAGCAGTCAGATCCGTGCAGATGTAGAAAAACTTCAAATTTACCTGAAAAAAACTTTCAAGGGATTTGCATGGCCTTTTCCATTATCTTATTCACAAAGAAACATAGAGATATCCAACAAAAATATTGAGGAACTGAGAGTTTTTGCAAAGCACTTGAAAATGGTTGAATCAGAATATCTGGAGAACAAGCAGCATATTGGTCCAGATGACCCATTATACATATATTCTCAAGATAAATTAATCACATCCAAGATAAATGATATCAAAGAAAATATAATCAATTCATCCAAATACTATGAAAATTATCTTTGTAAAGCATCAGTAGTTTCTCATTTGTTTCCTTTGGATAAGATTAAAAAATTATTTAAACAAAAGGTCAATTGAAATGATAGAATTTGATGATTGTTATTCACACTCTTAACAACGATGAAACTGATGCGATGCACGCATAGGTATTGCATCGTATCGGGCCTTTATCGCATCGCATCGCGAGAGCGATGCGGGGCCCCGCATTGCATTGCTTGCATCGGATTCTTTGATACAGTGTATCAGTATTGCATCGGCAAAGCAATGCGATGCGATGCACTATAATTTGGTGGCATCGGTTTGCATCGCTTTCCGATGCGATGCCGATGCAATGCATCGCTTTTTTGATGCAATGCATCGCTTTTTCGATGCAATGCATCGCTTTTTTGATGCGATACCAATACATGGCTATTTATCGCATCACATCGCATCGTTTCACCGTTGCTCTTAAATCCAAACTTTTGTCTACTTTCAATGTGAATTTCAATATGTTTGTTCTCTGGTTCTGTTATTCATTTTGAGTGTTTTTTTTTGATTGTGTCTGGGTTGGTTGATAGTGGGTATGTTGTTTTTGATGGGTCCAGGTCTTTTATATTTCATTAGTCTAGGCCTTTTAGTTGTTTTGGCTCCTTGAATTTACATTTGTTTGGTTCTGCTATCCATTTTGGGTATTGTTATTTTTATTTTATTTTCTTTACTTTGTTTCTTCTCAGGCTTGTGTGCTTTATTTGCTCTTCAAGCTTTGCTATAGGCCACTAGATGCCAAGGAAGC